GCGGGCACAAATAGCCTGGCAAAAAAAGGGCCCCCAAACAGCCTTTCTGAAAGGGGGTATATTTGGAGCTGTGGAGGTAGCTGAGGACGGAATCAACACAAGCTCCCCCCTTCATATTGAGCCTGACCCCCAGGTCCAACTCGAGGCCCCTCAAGACAGCTTTACGCAAAAGCGTGCGAATCATTTGGGGGGAGACCTCGGTAAGCGCGAGCTCATCCCCCAAATCGGTGACCAGGATTCCGAAGGCAGGCATCGTCCAGGAAATGTGCTCCAGAGACTTCCGAAGAGCCGTGACAGGCCCCGAGACACTTCGCCACAGCGGGGATTCCCCCTCGAACCCAGCCTGCCAAGCAGCGCGAAGCTCAGGCAGAGACAGGGTGTGCCGATACAACCGATGATGGGCCCACCAGACCTCCTTAGACCAGCGGATAATGGGAGCAACACTCGCATACCAACACGGCCCACCGTGCGCAAGCAACAAAGCGGTCAACGATCGGCCCTTGGCCGACGGCTGCAGAACAGATCCCGCCTGCCGTCGATAAGTCAAAAGCTCGAAGTCGGACACACCATGGAGTCAAAAGCTCGGAGTCGGACACACCATGGACCTCGGACCCGAACAACTCAGACGCCAGGGCCCCAAAAGCAAAAACGTTACGGGCAACACGGCCCCCAATCGTGGGCCGCAAACGGGCCAACCGAGCAACGAACCCCAACGTTTTTCTTTCTCGCTTTTTATGCTTGGCGCTCCGTCTCTGGACTCGACGGGGCCGACCAGCACAACCATCAACTCCGAGGTTCGGCGCGGACGAGACAAGGCCCAGCCAGCCCTCCAAGCACGGCGGCCAGCTCGCGCCCCAGCGCCTTAGACGAACAAATGAGCGACCGCTTCCCTTCATCTTGACTAACCTTAGCCCCCACCCCATCCTCTAAGACCGAATACAATTGACGAGCAACATGCGGCAAGCTGGCCACGATGTATGACTTGGTACCCGTGGCGCTCACCCCTGAATCGCCAATGTACAACTTAAAGTGCACCTGGGGGGGGGGGGGGGGGTCTCAAGCTTGTCCAGATCCTGAATGGCATAAACCCGAATAAAGGTAGTGGCGAACGTGCATCCCGCAATAATGCCCCCCTGGGCCCAATAGGGCCCATCCACGAACCCGTTAAGGACGAAAAACCGAGCCTGGAGGTACATGGCAATCGCCAGCCCAGCGATAGCCATCGGGAAATGCATCTGCCTCACACGCCACAGCAACATTTTCGGGTTAATGGTTTCATAGTACTTATAAAGGCCGAGCAGCACCGTAGCCGTTTCGTCTTCAGACAAGGTAGACGTCCCCGCACGGACCGCCTGCCTCCAGACAACGCCCAGAGCCCCCTCAAAGGGGCCCACCGCAAAATAATCACGAGAGTGGGTGAATTCCCACTGCTGGGCCAGCGGGCGCCTAACCTTCCCACGCGCGCGGTACAGGGCACAGAAGTTCCCGATGGGACGGAACCCCCCACTCGCTATAGGGATAAGGGAAAGAAGAGTGGCGGAAATCTGGACAGGGATCAAGGCCGCGCGCTCCATAAAAGCAAACAGGTCCACGACCGCAAGCAGTGACGCGTCACTCATCAAAGAGAAGTGCTTCATGTGGAAGCCATCCACACTGACAGAGGTATTGTTCTTAAACCTCCTAGAAAAATCCCTCATGGCTTCCACAGGCACGGGCGGCAGAGGCGGGGCTACCTCTCCGATCTCGAACCAACTCCCCGTCCCTCCATCCCCCCAAAGCTGAGAAAACTTGGAAGCTTCAGCTTTGAGTAAAGACAAAGGGTCCGCAACCACCACCCCGTCCAGGGACAAGGTGGCGGTGGGGGTCCAAGGAATGGCCCCCTTGGAGACCAGGTGAACACGTCGGGCCCCGCGATGCGCTTTGAAAAGAAGCCACTCCCTCCACTCCTGATTAGCTTTCTTCCTGGATCCCGCCTCCACCTCCGACAGAACCACTTGGAAGGTGCCCACCAGGTGGGTGAAACGGTCGAAGACGGGCCCGTCCTTCGCCTCGTACATCGGCAGCTCACGAATGAACTCGAGCAGCGCTGACAGATAGCTGGCAGCTGGCCCTGAGTACTGCGAAAACTGAGGCGGCGACTCCAAGGCCTGGAGCACCGAGAGGATGCCCGACTGGCCGCCCGCAGACCAGAAGCCTTCGAAGTTACACAACATGTTGGCCAGCCACCTGCAAGCGAACAACTCATTAGACATGCTAGAGGCTCCTTGAGACGCATGGTTTTTTCTTCAAGATGGGCCTCCAAACCATTTGAGGGGGCTTCCCTCTCGAGCCCCACACGGGCAAGACCTTGCCAGTGGCCGCGGACACCTCACGCTCCGCAGCATTCGCCCAAAGCTTATAAGCACGATCGAGGGCCTCTTTGGGCTCTGTCCAAATCCCCATGCCCCACCGCATCCCTAGCCGACCCCAGCACCTCGTGGACCCTCGTAGGCGCGGGAACCGCCTCAAAAAGCAAAGCAGGGGCCAGAGGGC